CTCCCCGACCCCATCCCAAGTACACCAGGTTACCACACAGCTAGGCTAGGACAGGCATGTGTGTGTAAACAAACCCTGGGGCAGATGCATGATTCCCACACTGCATCCAGAGACCAGGTCTCCCACTGCGTTGTCTCTGATGGAGTACCGAGGCAGCCAGCCCAGAACAGGCACCCACCGCAGCAGCCACTCCCTCAGCCTGGACACGGAACATCTGCAACAACCACAGGAACCGTGACATGAACCGGGTCACACCTGGAGGAATGTGCCTTTCACTGCTAACACTGCTAACACTGTTAACACTGCTAAGACTGTTAACACTGTTAACACTGCTAACACTGTTAACACTGTTAACACTGCTAACACTGTTAACACTGTTAACACTGTTAACACTGCTAAGACTGTTAACACTGTTAACACTGCTAACACTGTTAACACTGTTAACACTGCTAACACTGTTAACACTGCTAAGACTGTTAACACTGTTAACACTGCTAACACTGTTAACACTGTTAACACTGTTAACACTGCTAAGACTGTTAACACTGTTAACACTGCTAACACTGTTAACACTGTTAACACTGCTAAGACTGTTAACACTGTTAACACTGCTAACACTGTTAACACTGTTAACACTGTTAACACTGCTAACACTGTTAACACTGTTAACACTGTTAACACTGCTAAGACTGTTAACACTGTTAACACTGCTAACACTGTTAACACTGTTAACACTGTTAACACTGCTAACACTGTTAACACTGCTAAGACTGTTAACACTGTTAACACTGCTAACACTGTTAACACTGCTAACACGGCTAACACTGTTAACACTGCTAACACTGTTAACACTGTTAACACTGTTAACACTGCTAAGACTGTTAACACTGTTAACACTGCTAACACTGTTAACACTGCTAACACGGCTAACACTGTTAACACTGCTAACACTGTTAACACTGCTAACACGGCTAACACTGTTAACACTGCTAACACTGTTAACACTGCTAAGACTGTTAACACTGTTAACACTGCTAACACTGTTAACACTGCTAAGAATGTTAACACTGCTAACACTGCTAACACTGTTAACACTGCTAACACGGCTAACACTGTTAACACTGCTAACACTGTTAACACTGCTAACACTGTTAAGACTGCTAACACTGCTAACACTGCTAACATTGACCTCTGAGGTCAGACAGTACAATGAGGAACGATAGTTAATGTGTGATGACTGTGACAACAGGGTGATGAAGAGGAGCTCTGTGAGAAAACACACCGATGGACACCACCCACACCCACACCACCCACACCCACACCACCCACCCACACCCACACCACAGCACCTGAACTAACACTGACCCTTCGTTCCTTCCTTGTTCCCTTCCTCGTGTCCTTTCCTTCTTACCTTAGAGAATCTTTGAGCCAGTCCCCCAGGTTACATTTAGACCCCGTCCCCTTCTGGGCCACCGTATCCAGAGCCAGCTCATCCAGAATCTGTCTGTGCACAAAATAGTCCCCCGTGGACCAGTCTTTGTCCTCCATGGTGTCTGAGTGCAGCTCCAGAACCCCGTGTTGAGCACACCTCAGCAGCTTCCTTTCCTGCTGGACTGGGTCACACACTTTCTTTTAACTGCTCTGGGTGTGTGGGTGACACCTGTCCTCACCTTATAGACCTCACAGACCACACCCCACAGGCCCCGCCTCCTTGTACCAACATGACAAAGTTATGGAGTGACCAGTGTGACCAGCAGGTCTGTACCATATAAGGTCGTCTTCACTGACCGACTGTCTCCTGAGTGGGCTTCAGGGACAAGCCCACACGTGTCATGGATCGGATCCAGACAGGTCTGATCACGCGCCCCGTCTTTTAGCCACTCGGTCACAGTCTCCCTAAAGTAAGACCAAAGTACAGGTCCAGGTCCAGGACCAGGACCAGGACCAGGACCAGGACCAGGACCAGGACAAGGCCAAACATTAACGTAAGAATCAGGACTAATAAAGCTGACTCTGTGTGTGTGTGTGTGTGTGTGTGTGTGTGTGTGTGTGTGTGTTCTCTGTTGAACCTTCTAATCTTTAAACACCGCCTCAGTGACTGTGACTGTGATGGATGTGGCTGTTGATCAGAGCAGGTTAACTTTTAAAAGACTCTTTGTCCAGAGACTTCACCCTGACTGGACGGCTGTCCTGTTTTCCAGGTGAAGAGTGAGAGAGGTCGGTATTGATCGACAACACCAATCAGTCTCATTAAAATGAGCTTTAATTGTTATCTTACACTAATAATACTAATAATGTATTACTTACTCTATTACAAATATACTACAACTAATAGTATTCACAAACAATCAAATCTCTGAAGGTTTCTGGAGTTCTTGGCCAATGAGGTGGGTTTACAAAGATAATCAAATACTGGCGGTGTAGGAGAGTTCATGACACGGGGAGAGGAGGTTAGAAAGAAACCGTTCAGTCTTCTCAGTGGTCACCATTAACCTGTCCCTACATCTAAGCTAAAGCTAAAGCTAACGTGTCCTAAGGGCAGCCTTACTGTAGTGAACGTCTGCAGTGGGAAGTCTGAATCCTGTCGCTTCTAAACCTCCATCAATCCTAAAGTTACTTATGTAACTTAATTACTGGTTTTACTCAGTTAAGAAAGTTCATTCATCACCGCGGGTTCTTCTTCTTCTGAGACGCAGCAGGTTTCTCTTCTCACCAGGGGGTCGGGGTCAGAGGGCAGAAGGTTGGACAGGTCACTGACCCAGACAGGACTGTGGGATGGATGGCTGGACGGACAGATGGATGGACGGACGGATGGGTGGATGGATGGATGGATGGGGGGGTGGATGGGGGGGGGGGGGGAGGGGGGGGGGGGGGGATGGGTGGGGGGATGGGTGGGTGGATGGATGGATGGACGGACGGATGGATGGACGGATGGATGGATGGGTAGATGGATGGGTGGGTGGATGGATGGGTGGATGGATGGGTGGGTGGATGGTGGGTGGGTGGATGGATGGATGGATGGACGGACGGATGGATGGACGGATGGATGGGTGGGTGGATGGATGGACGGACGGACGGACGGATGGACGGACGGATGGGTGGATGGATGGGTGGATGGATGGATGGTGGGTGGATGGGTGGGTGGATGGATGGATGGACGGACGGATGGATGGATGGGTGGATGGATGGATGGATGGGTGGGGGGGTGGATGGTGGGTGGGTGGATGGATGGGTGGGTGGATGGGTGGGTGGATGGATGGACGGACGGACGGATGGATGGACGGATGGATGGATGGGTGGGTGGATGGGTGGGTGGATGGATGGACGGACGGACGGACGGATGGACGGACGGATGGGTGGATGGATGGGTGGGTGGATGGTGGATGGGTGGATGGATGGATGGTGGGTGGATGGATGGATGGATGGGGGGGTGGATGGGGGGGGGGGGGGAGGGGGGGGGGGGGGGATGGGTGGGGGGATGGGTGGGTGGATGGATGGATGGATGGACGGACGGATGGATGGACGGATGGATGGATGGGTGGGTGGATGGTGGATGGGTGGATGGATGGATGGTGGGTGGATGGGTGGGTGGATGGATGGACGGACGGACGGACGGATGGACGGACGGATGGGTGGATGGATGGATGGGTGGGGGGGTGGATGGATGGATGGGTGGGTGGGTGAGTTCCACTGAACAGTTCTCATTCCATGGAACCGTTCACAGCTCAACAAACAGAACCAGGGGTCAAAGGACACGGTGAGGTCACAGGTACTGATGAAAGACCAACTGACTGTCTGTTGATGAATGGATTTGTTTGATTCCACCTGTGAAGTCTTATCAATGAGTAAACACTGACCTCCTTGACCTCCCAGGGTGAAGAGGCCGCTGCCTGATAACGCTTCACTGTTACCACGGCAACACAACACGGGTTTTTTCACACGTTCTCTTCCTTGTTTCTATTTTTAACTTGAGTGGTATTTTATCAGGTTTGATCAGAACAGACGACAGAGTTGATGACTCAGCACTTTAAACACCCAGTCATCTTCTACCGCTCACATTCACATCAGGGTCAGGGGTTTTGGGTTCAAATCCCAGCCACTGTGTCGTTTAAAAGTACTGCATAAAACGACATGAAACGATATTTGTGAAAAAAGTCTAAGTACTTTGACTGTTTACAGCTGTGAAAGTACTAGGGTGTAGAAGTTATAGGAGTTACTAATTATCACCACCATCACTGAAGCCTCTTCATTGGTGGCTGAGTGTCACATGACGACACTCCGTCAGTGGATCTGTTCCACACCGACACCTTGACCTGATGTCACTCATTAAACCGAAACCAGCTGGATGTTTTGCAGATGTTGTTGTGTAATGTGATGTGATGTGGCTCAACCTGTGGAATGCCCCTCCCCTCTGATAGGCTGCTGTGGAGGAAGACACGCCTCCTCAGTTAGACTGTGACAGAGCGCGGCGTTCTGCTGCGTTGGTAAATGGTCAACACCACATGTGACCTGTCAGTGTTTTCCAGGTTTGATCAAAGCTGCTGAGTCACACTCAGAGGAGATGATTGACAGCTGAGATGATTGACAGCTGAGATGAGCCTTTACTCACTACTTCATTAAATCCATGGTGTCTCCTAGAAGACGTTCTTCAACACGTCCAAAGAATGTCGTTGGTGAAGACTGGACGACGAGTAAAGACACGGTCCACTCACCAGACCATGTGATCAACTCAACCAGCAGATGATCTCCAGTCAAACTGGTCTGGTTGACCTGGTTAGCTGTCCATAGATGATGAAACAACAACAGAAGAAGAAGAGAGAAAACAGGAAGTGGAAAGAGTTCCACTGGAGAACACTGTTGGTGTCTGTGGAACCAGTTCTTCCCACGTTCTGTTCCAACACCTGAACGTCTCTCAGCCCACGTAGGACCTGACGTCTGGGTTTGATAGAGGGTCACAACCAGCGGTTGAATTTATGCTCCGTGTGTGTGTGTGTGTGTGTGTGTGTGTGTTACTGACCTTTGACTGGTTAAATGTACAGTTTTACACTTAAACATTAGTTTAGATCGGCCTCTGCTCGATCACGTGGTGTGGCCCCACGGAAACCCTCAGCAGTGACTGTAGAAACAGTTCCATCTTGTGGCCACTTGATGTAGTTGAACTTGAAACGGTTAGTATAAGATGTAGGTTTTTAATATTATTTATTTGTATTTCTTTGTTTTCTCGGACTGATGTAAGAGCTGAATATTCTTTTTTCTGCGTTCAGTCTGAGTTCAGTCTGAGTTCAGTCTGCGTTCAGTCTGAGTTCAGTCTGCGTTCAGTCTGAGTTCAATCTGCGTTCAGTCTGAGTTCAGACTAGGACTAACCGGACCCCTGGTGTTTACCAGTTTGTATTATTCCTTCTGTATCTACTGTCACATGAATCAACAGCAGGAAGAGGTTAATACAGTGCTATTTATCTATTTAAATATATATATGTATATACAGTATATCTACTATACTGTATAACATTCTTCAGTGTTTGGTAGGGGGTCGGGGCGTTGGGGGTGGGAGAGGGTCTCCAAGTACTGCACCTTTCTCCCACTGTCCAAAAACATGCAGAAAAAAAAACGTAAAAAGTCAGAGGTTAAGATAGAAAGTTCACTCAGAAATGTGTATTTGGCGCCATCTACCGGCATAATAAAAATACATTTTATAAAAATTAAAATAACGTAACTTAAAATAAGTGGACAAAGCTCCGTACGTGCAATGAAATTGTAACCAGTGACCTGGTACCGCTGGTTTCTGTCATAGTTCTATTTCTATATTTAATATTTTATACTCTTTTACTGCAAGACTTTTATTGTGAAATAAAGCGGAAATATGGTAATTTGACGCTACTGATGACAAAGTGAAACCCCGGTATTTTCACAGTTCGGTACAGACCAGCAGCCGCTGCCGCAGGGTGTTGTCCTCGTCCGTGGTTCTTCTTCGTCACCGCCGAACCAGTTGAAACCTGCCCGACATGGCGAGTCGAAAACGGCTGTTTGAGGGAAGTCCGGCCCCCAAGTCAGTTCGAGACTTCAGGGACTGGGGAGTCGAAGAAACGTGCGAGTTCCTGCGGAAAGAGGGTCTGAGGGACTGGGAGGATACTTTCAGAGGTGGGTGATCTGTCCTGTTGTACCGGACATGTATGTTTGGAAAAGTGGCGTGTATTTTGGAAAGTCACTTTTTAGCATATTTACAACAATTTTTAATAGATCTCAGAGTGAACAAATCACTCTGAGATCTATTGACTCTATAAACGCCAGAACCTAAATGTTAACAGTAATTCTAATTAATCCTTACATTAATAATAATTCATTTTATAGGAATATTATTCATTATTAATCCCGTATCTCGGTTGTAGCGTTGCTGTCTACTGACCGGCCCAAGATGGCGCTAGTATTTGTTTTTATCCCGTGCAGCCTACTCTTCACTGTCTATGGCCTGTACCCCTAGGGCTGGGTGGGGGCGGGGGCAGGTTAGTGCTGGCCTTTATGAAAGCAGGCGTGACAGCTCAGCTAAAGTGAACATGTTGTTGTTGTTGTTGTTGTTTAAGCTAGTATTTATTACCATTGTGTCCATTTCCCGTTCAATTAATTTGGCTTTAATTTATTATTTGATTCGATCATCACAGTCTGACTTTGATTTAGTTTCACCTGAAACATTTAAATGTAACGTTTTCCTTCTGCCACTCTGGTCCAACCTGCCCTGAGACGGGGCAGATGATACCTGTCTGATTCTTTAAAGTTCACACCACTAAATTTAACAAAACGTTGCCATCATTTCCAGCATGAGCTGCTTTACAAACAGCGCCCCCTAGAACAGGGACTGATGTGAAAAGTCACCACTGTTCTTTTCTGTTCTGTTCCAGCACAAAACATCACAGGCGCCATCCTCAGGTCACTGGAGGAAACACATCTGGAGAAGATCGGTGTGAAGTGAGTCCTAAATCTGAGCCGTGGTGATTCTATGGGCTGGCAGCAGGGGGCGTTTGTAAAACATTGAGTGGCTGGGAGAAATTTAAATTCTGCTCAGAAAAATGAACCAGTTTAACGAGCTAGAACAGTTCTGTCCACTTCATACGTCACTGAGGCTCGGGTTTGATCCTCACATGGTCAGACCGGGCCACTGGACCGGACACTGGTCCACTGGACCGGACTCTGGGCCACTGGACCGGACTCTGGGCCACTGGACCGGACTCTGGGCCACTGGACCGGACTCTGGGCCACTGGACCGGACACTGGGCCACTGGACCGGACTCTGGGCCACTGGACCGGACTCTGTACCAGGTTCTGTCAGTCTGTCTGGTCTGTGACCTAGTGCAGGACTAGTAGCCCAGTTGGACCAGGTGGTTCTCCTTCTCCTGTGCTGGTTCTAACTCAGGGTCACGTGCAGGAAGTCACGGTGTGACTGTCACTGTGTCCCTACACTGGTGGTGGTCACTGGATTGACTGACCACCTCGGAACAGTCGGAACAGTCGGAACAGGTGTGTGTTCTGACGACACCAGTCCGCAGCCAAACAGTAGAAAGAGACTAAATCACTTTCACCTCCCTCAGACTGTGACACCTAGCTGCTGTTGTTGGTACTGCGTGTTCCAGTGATTATGGATCATCTTCAGGAACGTTGGTTAATCTCAAACTTTTCTGACTGTTACTGTCCACCAGGCGCCTCGGTGACCGTCTGTTGATCTTACACAGTGTGAAGAAGCTGTGGCTGATTGGAACTCAGTCGAGTAAGGTAAGAAGTCCAGGACCGGGACCTTTTTTTTTTTTTGTTTCCCGGTTTAGATTTCACGTCGAGGTTGTTGGTCCAATCACCCGTCTGTCTTCCGCCAGGTGTTCAACGATCCCGTTCACGGACACGTGGAGCTCCACCCCCTCCTCATCAAAATCATAGACACGCCTCAGTTCCAGAGACTGAGGAACATCAAGCAGCTGGGAGGAACTTACTTTGTTTTCCCTGGAGCTTCACACAACCGCTTCGAACACAGCATCGGGGGGGGGGGGGGGGGGGTCACTGTCAACTTCAGTCACTGTGTTGGTGCTAGTCTTCTAGTCAGACTGACGAGTTAATGAGTCGTTAACGTCTGCTGGTTTGAAACCTCTTCACAGAAGAACGACAACTGGACGTTCTCACCCAGCTGTTAATGACTCCACTGACCACTGACCACTGACCAGTCGCTGGTGTGTCAGTTTACAGTCAGTCAGTCATCATCTTGTGTGTGTGTGTGTGTGTGTGTACAGTGTGTGTCACCTGGCTGGACAACTGGTTCAAGCCCTGAATGAGCGACAGCCAGAGCTGCTCATCTCCCACAGAGACATCCTGTGTGTCCAGATCGCCGGACTCTGCCATGACCTGGGTGAGTGACCCTGTTCTGACCCACTGGTGGCGCTGCCTTCCTTGGTTTTCTCCAAACACAGTCTGTGTCTGCTGCAGTTGGATGTTGGGGGTTGGAGGCCTGTCTAGAACTTTGGTCTAGAACTCATGACTGCCACTGTTCTGTCCTTTGTCCCTTTCAGGACACGGACCATTTTCCCACCTGTTTGATGGGATGTTCATCCCCAAGGCTCGTCCAGAAATCACCTGGAAGGTGAGAAGGTCAGGAGGTCGTTGGCCTTCACACCATGGGACGAGAAGAGTTGGTTGGTTCAGAGCTCAGTGCACACGGATTAACTGGAGTCTGTGTTGCAGCACGAGCACGCCTCGTTAGCCATGTTTGACCACATGGTGAAGGTCAACCACTTAGAGCCCGTGATGAAGGACCACGGCCTGGTCCTGCCTGAGGACCTGGACTTCATCAAGGAGCAGATCGCCGGACCGCTCGACTCCAACGCAGATGAAAAGGTGAGTTCTGAGTTAGGTTGGTTCTTCTCTGAGCTCTGTTTCCTGTCACAGCCAAATCAGGAAGAACGTCAACACGTTCTCCGCTCTCTCCTCCTAACGTTCTCTGTTAACTGCCCATGAAATACTCACCTGTCTGTGGTCCGTCTGTGGTCTCCTCAGTGGCCGTACAAAGGTCGTCCAGAGGACATGTCCTTCCTCTATGAGATCGTGGCCAACAAACGAAACGGCATCGACGTGGACAAGTGGGACTACTTTGCCAGGTGACGCTTCTCTCTTCATTGATTGGTTGACCCTGACCTTGGTGTCATGTGACAGTCCAGTGAAGTTAGTCCGTCTGTCTCTGACCTTCTGACCTCTGTCTGTGACACCACCCAGGGACTGTTACCATCTGGGCTTTCGCAACAACTGCGACCACGGCCGATTCCTCACGTTTGCCCGTGTGTGTGAGGATAATAATCGGAAGATCATCTGCACCAGAGACAAGGTGTGGTTTTATTCAGCCACGGTTCAGAAACACTGGTCCACTGGTCCACAGGTCCACTGATCCACTGGTCCACTGATCCACTGGTCCACTGGTCCACTGATCCACTGATCCATTGGTCCACTGGTCCACAGTCTGGTTCTGCTCATGTCATGTGTTGATGTTGAACTTGTTGCAGGAGGTGGAAAATCTGTACAACATGTTCTACACCAGGAACCGTCTCCACAGGGAGGCCTACCAGCACAAGGTCGGGACAATCATAGAGACCAGGTGAGTTTGTCCCGCTGTGGGTTAGGTTTCTGGTCCGGTCTGCTCCACGGTTCTGTTCTAAACCCTGTTCTCCCAGGATCACGGACGCCTTTTTAAAGGCCGACAGATTCATCCATTTTCAAGGCTCGGGGGGGCAGAAGTTCACGCTGTCCACTGCCATCGAGGACATGGAGGCCTACACCAAGGTCACAGGTCAGTGTGGAGGGGCTGCTCACCCTTTAGCTGTCATACCCTGAGCCACCACTGAGCTGGTTCTTGTGGTCCTGTAGATCACATCTTTGAACAAATCCTCTACTCGTCCTCTGAAGAACTGGCCGAGTCCAGAACCATCCTCAACGACATCATCCGTCGACGCCTCTACAAGTGTGTGGGGGAGACCCGCCCTGAAAAACCCGTGACCTTTGACCAGGTCGGTCTGTAGGGACATGTCTTTTCACTCTGGCTCTATCTTATCGTAGGTGTAAATATACATACCCCCTCCCCCCCTTCATCAGGAGACAGAGAAGACGTGGAGAGAAGATTTGGCCACAAACTCCGCCCCCCACAGCAGGGGCGAGACTCTGCAGCCGGAGGACTTTGTAGTGAGGGTGAGTTCAGAGGTGGTGATGCCGGTGTGACCCTGGGTCAGGGTGACTTTGACCCCTGCTGAATGTGACTCTCTCCATCAGGTGGTTGAACTGAATTATGGGATGAAGGAGAAGAATCCCATCGATGAGATGCGGTTCTACTGTAAGGACGACCCCAACAGAGCCGTCTCCATCAACAAGAACCAGGTCTGGAACTTCTCTCCGTATCTGTCACACTTCTAGTTTCTCACGGACGCTCTGAACTAACGCCAACGCCACTTCCTGTCTTCGCAGGTGTCCAAACTTCTGCCGCAGTGCTTCTCTGAGCAGCTGATCAGGGTTTACTGCAAGAAGTTGGACGGCCACAGTCTGGACGCTGCCAAGAAGAGTTTTGTCCAGTGGTGCATGGACATGGACTTCTCCAAACCTCAGGTAAGATTTGGTCTGCTGCTGGGTGATCAAGAAATCGGATTTGAACCCTCAACCTCCATTCTCAAACCTGGCTCCAATGAAGTAAAAAGGGTACAACTGTTTAACTCCTGGTCATTGTGACACACCACTGCACCACTGCACCACAGCACACCACCAAATGTGACCTCTCCTTCTAACCCATGACCAAAGCCAGCAGGGGGCAGCTTTAAGCGCCCGGGGCGCAGTGAGTGGTGCTGAGGAGCTCTGTTTAGTTAGTGGTTCAGTTTAGTTAAGTCTGAGTTTAGTGTAGAAGCCGTTCTTCATGATGACTGGAGTCTGTGAGAGAGGTCTACAGACAAACTGTTAGTCTGTTGTCTGCTGTTAGCTCGGTGACAGAGACCACAGCACATATTTTACTGTCAAAAACTCCCAGAATGCACCACAGTAATGTCACAAAAGGACATGGGATGAAGTGAAGTGAACTTCTAACTTGAATGTGAGGCTTGTTTAGTTCTAAAGCTATCTGCTGCCTCCTGGTGGAAGAGTATATAAGACCAATGAAGTGAAATTGGATAATGTAGTTTGAATGATGTTTTATTCCTTCACAGGATGGAGACGTAACTGCCCCCGAGTTGACCCCCCTGAAGGTCAGCTGGTGCCAAGACCACGGTACCGGAGAGAAGGCAAAAAGAGTCCGAAACAACCTTTTCAAATGAAGGTGGAGGGATTTATTTCTGTTTTAGATTTCTGATCTTCCACAAGGGGGAGCTGTGATGAGTAAAACAACTCTAAAAGAGGTTTGTTTTTACCAAATAATTACAACAAGGATGTTCTCAGGATATTTTTACAGATTTTTGAATGTTACAAAGAAAAACAATATTGAACTATGTTTATTTTATGAAGAGAGAATTCTGTGCCTGTTCGGTTTTCATTGGTTCGCTGCTCTGTCACAGACTTTATTTTTTTTTACTGTGTGTTTCTTTTAAAGAAGAAGGAGGTTTCTCCAGCTGTGGACAGTCTATGGTCCACGCACCGGTGGTTTTAGCTTCACTTACTATTTAAGTTTGATTCTTTCAACGTATTTATTCAGTTCGTGGTTGTTGTGTGCAAAGAAAGACATTTACAGTGTTTCACCATGGTGTGGCGCTTTATCTCCTACCCCAGGTCGCAAAGACGTTCTGTCAAAGAAAACAGTTTGAGAATGAAATTGTCTTTTGTGTTTTTTTAATGATGTCTTGGTGCTAATTATTATTATTTGATCTGAGAAATGAGCCCAAACATCATGAACTCCTGACGTGTCCGACGAAGGTCAGTGGTGCAGGAAGACCGGTCAGGACACCTGTCTGAACCACAGGCAGGATGGTGGACCTGTTCAGTCAAGACAGGGGGCAAAGAATGAAGTGGGAAAAACTCTGTTGACCTGTAGAAAAGTCAGAGAGGACAGACAGGCTGCTGACAAACAGGTCACGTGACACACTGTCATTCTCCTGAAGACCACCCCTCCAATGATCTGAAAATGACTGCTCCCTGTGTGTGTTGACACATCTTGACCACTAGATGGCAGAGGGATTTAAGGGTCCTGAACATCGAGGTCCAGTCGAATCCGGTTCTGAACCTGTTCCACTCCACACAGATACTGTGAAGGGTCAGTGAACATCACACTGTGGGGGGGGGGCGGGGGGGGTGGATGTTACAGACATGTCTACTCTCTGTGTGTGTGAAGGTGGGTGTCACAGTCTCTAAGATGTCGAGGCTCTGGACCCCCACCCCACGGTAGGGTTGTGGGGTGAATCTGCACAATTCTACCCCCCAGTTTTGTCAACACAGCTGTTCAGTTGTAGAGACAGTCGTTCATCCAGGTTGGAACTTTAACCTTTGACCTTTGAAGACTGTGCAGCAGCCTCAGAGTAGTCATTTCCTTTTACAAAGGTCACAGTATCGTCTGCGTACATAATGACCTCGACACACAGTCGGCAAATCGTTTATATAGAGGCTCAATAGGACGGGAGCTCAGATCGAGCCTTTGGCGACACCTGTGGTGAGACGTGGTGTTTTAACACGCTGAGGTCCAGTGATGACAAACGATTAGAACCAGTTTGAAGTAAGTAGATATTATGGTTATGGCCACGCCCCCTCTGTTTGGTAATAACATCAACAGTCGGTGTTTCTGTTGAGTGGAGCCCCCTACAGGTTGCATGTGATGTAGGAGCTGATTAAAGTGGAGATGTTGGTCTGTCACTCATTTTTCAATAACCTCAGAGAAGGATGCTTATTGGTCAATAAGTTGATACTGACTGTGGGGCATTGTGCAGGTCATCACAGGGGTCATCACAGGGGTCAACAGTTTCCACAGTGAATGAGTCGGTGCGTTTCCCTGTCAGTCAAAGCGACACATCTGTGACTTGTGTGTGTATTTGAGCAGATGTGTAGGCGTGTAGACACACACACACACACACACACACACACAGGTCTCCTCTAATCTGACCGGAGCCTGTGGCTGGTAATCTGACCTTAGAGATTAGAAAGAACAACAACAGAGAAGAATGTCTTCACTTCAGACTGTAAGGAATTTACAACGTCCTTCAGGCTGTTCTCTCTCTCTGTGTCTCTGTGTCTCTCTCTCTGTCTGTCTGTCTCTCTCTCGATGACATCACTGCTGTCTCTAGGTTCTGACCAACATTTCTGGACCAGTTTCTCCAAAGTTCTTGTCTCAGAGGTCACAGAGGTCACAGGGGTCACCGACCTTTTCTGGGGTCCATGTCATTGTCAGTACTGATCCTTCAGACAGAGTGGGCAGAGGTTTGTCCTCCGTGGAGGGACAGCTTTCAGGAACAGGAGGTGACATGTGGTCACAGGGCGGTGTCAGGTGGTGACACCTGTCCCACTGAAGGCTTGAGTTACACACACACACACACACACACACACACACGTCGTATCAATCTGGTCATCGTCCGGAGGTGGACTTTGTCAAATGTCCTTTTGAGACACTAGAACCTGTAGAACCTGAAGAGTCCACACACTGGTCTGTGTCGGTTCTGGTTCTGAACCCTGAGAACAGAGACCACCTCAGTGGGGGGGGGGCAGATGGAGTCTGTTGCAGGTTCAGATCCGTCCATAAACACAGGTAAAGTGACACCAGTGGCACATGACTGTTTGTATTAACCTCAGAGGTGGGGGGGGTCGTGGGGGGGTCGGGGG